TACTGGCATCGCGATGGGCAAGGCACACTCTTAATCCATAATTCGCCTTAAGAGATCTAGGCTGGTTGGGTTCACATAAAAGTTGTATTCACCCTATTTCGTTTAAGGTGGTGAAGGACTCGTAGTTGAACTTTCACACATAGTCTTGCTTCCCAATAGGTATTTCCATCCAGGTTGGGGTGAAATGCAGCTTCGACCTCGCCATAGTCTCATCTGCACCTCCAGCGGGACTCGAACCTGTGCTGTGATAGTGCAGTGTGGAGTCTACACACGTTAACCACTACGCCGTGGTTACCGACGCGAGTGCTCTTTAGCAGCAGGGTAAAAGTGAATTGCAAGCAAGCCCAGGCCTTTCGTGTAGCACAGTTCTGTGTGTCGAAGCAACATGGGCTCTAATCCCGCTGGGGGTGCCAATGAGACCAGTTCGGGAGAGGTCGAAACTGCAGTCCACTTCATTTGGGATGAGAATACTGTTAGGAAAGCAAGAGTTCGTGAAATTCACTGAAAACGTAAGGTCCACTCATATGATTTTGCGAAAATTCAACTATTTAGTCCTTCAATTTCTTAACCGAAATAGGGTAAATGCAACTCTTATATCAGATCTATCAGTAGTCTTGACAACTCAACTACGAAATGGAAAGGAAGTTGGCTTTGGTTGAGGCATTACCGATTGTCGCGATACCTGTTCACATCAAAAATGCCTTTCCATGTCGTGGAAACAGCAGACTTTGCGCTAGATTCTGGGCATTTTGAGAAATGCGGCTCTCATACTCGTTCTGATAAGGGCTTTGATGCAGAGGATGGCCCTTAATTGTTTTCGGGACGAGAACGAACAATGATTTTCTGTAGGCTCTGGTTCCAGTTACCGAGGGCCTCCGTCTATGGTCCAATCCAAGGCGCCATTTTTTCGACTCATGCCTACCACTCGTCAGCAGAGCGTGAAGGGCATATCAGGCTAAAAATGTACAGCAACTCAACCTGGGGGACCAATTCTAGGCATGCATGGAAGAGCATTAATGCTGCAGACTGGTACATGAGTGCAGCGCGAAACACCTCGTCAAACCAGTTCTGCCTAGTTCACTGTTTGTGTGCAAGAAATCATTTTTTCCGCATCGTTCGGCTGAAATTAACCTGTTTGCGTCGCTTACGACCAGAACTAATGGCAGGTAAGCACAACCCAAACGCCGACATACACCGACTGGCAAGTCGGCTCACTGGGCTCCCCTTCGACGGCAACACAATCCAGACTCGTCGGATGTCACTTCCTCCATCACCGACAGAGACCATGTTCTGCCTGATTGTGAAGCCAAAATTGGAGTGTCAGGAACTAGCCGATGGCGCAAAAGAAGGAAGCTTAAAGACCGCGAAATCGCCGGTTTCAGACAACAAAATGCCAAATCACATTGCTTCATTTTTCGAAAACATAAAACCGCCATTCTTGCCCAAGGAAGTCAGAAGGTACTGCCTTTCCGCTCACTTATGATATGGCATTTGTGATATTAGCCAATCTTAAAATCCGACGTATGCTTGTGACGCTTTGTTGTTCCTGTTGTCAGGCCATGACTTTGAGTTGCCGAATCGGTGGAGGGTAAGACCGCAAGTCTCTTGGTGATAGACAGACCACCTGCAGCAAGCGCTGGCCCTGTCGCTAAGCCGAGAGCATGCTTACTCCTCCGGTCAAAGGGGTGTCCACAAAATGCTAGTTGGTCATTTGGTCCATAGCCTTGACGTGTTTGCGTCCATATCTACACAGATATAGGGTCTAGTTTTTTGGTGTATTTTGGAAACAATAATTGATTGTTCGTCATTACTATTTAATTTATTTAGTTGTTAAATATAGTTGAGTTGCCTTAGTGTCTTGCTGGTGCACGTTGCTGGCATATATAGTTTTGATGTTTGTTTTTGTTCACCTGCAGAAGGATCATTTTGCGAGATTATTTGGTTCAGTGAAATTTTTATTCTATACATTTCTTTTAGTTTTTTTTGGCGATTTACAGGTTTTTATTTCTATTTTAGTGTCGTTAGTTGGCTGGAAATTGGATGCCAAATGATTAT